AAAAGACTCTCGAGCTTTAGGAGTGCAGTTGGCCACTACGAATGATGCTCCTGCACAGACACATTTGATGCAGTGCGGCCTTCAGTAATTGCTTCTATTCTTCATGTTCACGTTTTTTTTTTTCCACTTCAAAGACTTATCTTTTCCTGCGGAGGATTTGGTCCCCATGCAGTGAAGCAGTTTTGGAGATTTGGGAGGCTTTGTGGCATCGTTGGGTAGCACATCACCACATCCCATGCACAGCAGTCTCTGAGAATGTGAATTCCACAGTGAGCCTGGAATTTAAGTAGAACTCTTGATGTTTTCTTTTAGACATGGCCTGCCTTTCGTTGGCAGCGTAGAGACACCTGCTGTCTCATTGTTAGGTTTCACCCCTTTTTCAAAGAAGCTCTCCTGTGATGCTTGTTTTCTACTCATTTTGGGGAGGAACAGCTACAGGCTACCAAGACTGTGACTGACACAAGTGCACTGTGCAGGAATGAGGCACAAACAGAAGTGGTAAATAAAGTAATGGGTGGGCCACGAGCTGATGAAATAGGTGTTGGGTTCTGATTTAAAACCTGCCACCAGATGAAGGCATAATTAAAACTGAACTATGTCACCTCGCTCCTAAGAGTATAATAATGTGACGTACACAAGATCAACCTGGAAATAGCCAGTCTTTTCCTAAATACCAGAAGCACTCAGAGTAAATTGGAACAGCAGTCCCTTCTGCAGTCGCCGGGAGTCTGAGGAGGTGCCAGGAATACATCTGTCGGGAAGGACGGCAGGGTGCCTGGGTGAACTCGCTCCGTTGCTGTGCTCACGATGCAGCAGCGGCAGCGGGTGCTGATTTTACTTTGACAGCGACACACGCTGTTTGTTCTTCCTGGCTTTCAACAAGAGTGAAGCAAGTCAGGTTTTCTTCAGCTGACCAGCAAGGAACCTGAAGTTTCATGTAGTTTTTGTGTCCTGGTTCATCAGTGCACAGTTAGAAGACAGAGCCAGGATGGTGTGAACTCGTGTAGTGACTTTTTCCATTTTCTGTGTTCTCTTCAGGCCAGAATATGTGTATTTCTTTTAAAAATTCAACCAAATCAGGTATCCATTGATGATTAGTCTTCTTTATTCTGTCACAGATACTTGTAATGTGCAGTCATAAAAATGCTCATCAGTTATCGCCGATTTAAAATTATTTTGGTGAAAACAAAGCCAAGTGTATGTCCGCTGCTTCAGTTCATCGCTGCTCGTTGTAATTCTCCAAGGAATGATCAGGGTAGAATTCATTTTGTAGTTATGCCTGCTCTCAAGGTCATGTCGTTAAGCTCCCTGGTACAGTGTTTGTACTTTAAAGCTCCATTAGTGCCTTTCACAGAAAGAGCATGGCACTGTCTTCACAGCATAGTCTGAAAAAGAAGAAATTGTGTTCTTCTCCTAAGGCTGTGTCACATATCACGGGCCTAAAATAACAGCTGTTGTCACACAGTCTGCAGGCTGGAAATCCAAAATTGGTTTCCTTGGGTGTAGGGGACCCGACTTGATGTAACTGTGACCGACTTAAACTGCTGTCCCCAGCCAGGTGTGGTTGCACATGTCTTAGTCCCAGCACTTAGGAGGCTGAGGCAGAAGGATTGCCATGAGTTTGAGACCAGCCTGGGCTATATTAGTGAGTTCAAAACCAGGCTGAACTATACAACAAGATCCTGTCTCAAAAAGTAAACAAACAAACATTTAAATTGTCATCTTGCCTACCAGTTGACCCTGTAGGATAAAGTCTAAGATAGTTGAACATTTCTAAACTGGTGCTAGACATGTTGGTAGTTTTTGAGAAGGCCTGAGCTGGTATCTTTGTCTAGCTTAGCGTGTAAACCCTTCATCTGCTTTGGGATGTGGGATTCCCTTGCCTTCTTGCTGTCTAAAACCTGGCTCGGCCTGTGCATCCCTAGCAAATTAAATTTGGGGCAATCCTGCGTTTTTTCGCCTCATTTTTTTGGTTTTTAGAAGCTTTGGGTGGCAGAAGATTTGGGTAGAAGATTTCCCAGATACTGGGAAATCATTGTGTCTGCAGGGTCTCACTTCTCAGGAAGAAGTGAGACTGAAGAGTCTCACTTTCAGTCTCTTCCTGAGACTGAAAGAGCATCTGTCGCTCACTTCTTCTTGTGTCTGGTGGTTACCAGCTTTCCTAGCTCGTGGAAGGACCTCTCCAATTTCCACGTCAGGCCACAGTGCCGCTCCTCTTCTAGGTGCCAGGCTCCCCTCTGACATTCTCTATAAGGCTTCAGGTGACTCCATTTCTAGGCCACTTACATAATCCAGAAAGGAGCCTCTTCCTTCAGGATGATTAACTTAATCACATCTGCATATTCATATCCTGAAGAGAGCGTACTTTGCAGGCAACCATGGCAGAATCTGAGCACTGGTCAACCCCTGACTTGTTGATTTTGACCAGTTGCTTAACCCTTGAGCTTCACTTCCTCTGAAAATGGAATTAACCATGCCTGTCTCAGAGCGTGTTTGAAAGGGCCAGGAGAAATGATGTTGCTTCAGAGTCCTTCGTAGTTTCCTTTTTGTAAGAGCCCTCCAAACCTTGCTTTGACTTGTCTCTGTATTTCAGAGCCTTATCTCTCCCTGGCATGTCGTGGTTGTGCAATAGGTATTTACTGGGTACTTTTCTGTCCTCTGAAGGACAGTGTGACCTTGCACTGTCATGCACTGAACTTGCAGCTGGGAACAGCTCGGTGACAATGGCCCATCCAGAAATATCCTGCACAGAAAAGCATTCACTTTGCAAATAGGAGGTAGACATGTTGAACCTGGGCAAGCCCCTGACCCCTTTCTTCAGCTCTTAAGTCTACCTTCTAGTTTGCGGTCATTGCTCCTTACTTTTTTTAGATTGCTCATATAAGAAAAGACATGCAATATTTAACTTTCTGGGTCTGGCTTATATTGTGTCACATAATGGTCTCCAGTTCCATCCATTTTCCTCCACATGACATGATTTTGTTCTTTTTATGGCTGAATGGTTCTCTGTGTGTATATATGCACCACATTTTTTATTCATTGATCAGCAGATGGACATCTAGGCTGTTCCCACAGCTCAGCCATTGTGAATTGCATTGGCTGGCAGACTGAAAGAAATCTTTAGTGGAAAGAAAAACTCAATATTCAGTATTTTTCCCTAGTTAGTGTGAATACAGTGGTGCCCAGCACATGGATAATACCAAAACCTGTTTTAGCAGGATGATTGAAAAGTATGGCAAATGTTTAAATTTTAAAATCTTACTGTAGTGAGAGACACTTTGTCACTATCCCCTCAGACTCCTCCCCCTCACTTTGAACACACTCGTCCCATTGTGCTGGCTACCTCTGAAGCAGTTCCTAAGTGCCTTTAATTGTGGTGTTATAGCTGCCTCGGTGTCCTGAATTAGTCCAAAACTTTCCTGGTCCTTTTGACTTTGGGGAAGAGTCGGAAGTCCCCTAATGCCAAATCTGGGAATAAAGTGGATGATAACACACCGTAATGTTTTTATTTGACAGAAATTGCCATGAATGTTTTCAGTCAATTCAGGACATCCAGCTAGCTCCAAAAAGACATTCACAGGCTGGAGATGTAGCTCAGTGTCATAAACGTCTGCCTTGCAAGCACACAGTCATGAGTTCAATTCCCAGTACCGATAAAAAGAAAAAAAAGATAAACAAAAAGACACGCATGAGAGAAGACTTGCAGAATGACTTCACAAGGTGAAAAGAATGACCTTGTGAGAAGTGTGCTTGAAGGAAAGGGAATGTTTTGAGATTAATGATGGTGTGTCTTCTACAGTGTTTAAAAAGTTAAATATTCACCTTATATTTTGATCACACCTTTTATACGAGTTTTTTTCCCCTATATGTGATAATAAGTTTAATGTGTAAACTAGACGTAGTAAGTGTCTGATAACAAAAGCTAGATTAACAGAGTTAACAGTTAACTCCAGTAAAGATTGTGTAGATGTGGTCAGTCTATCTGTGTCTGTCTGTCTGTCTGCCTCTCTCTGAGGACAGCTTAGAGAGTTGGCTGCATGTAACTGAAGCCATAGAAAGTGAAACTGCAGGTAAAGGGCAGGGATGACTATTTAATTGGAAATAAGTGGAACTGACATTTGGGAGGCCATCGGGGTCTGGACAGTGGTCAGGGAACGCAGAAGCCAGGAGCAATCTATGTTTTCACGGTTCCTGCAGTATTAGGAGAGTGGATCTGGTCACCAGAAGCTGTGAGAGACCAGCATTCTGAGCCTGCAGCAGAGGTGAGGGACCATGTAAGGTGGAGGCCACCAGCCTCAGGCGTTCACCCTGTGCCAGTGGGAGACTTTCTGGGCCCCAGAGGGGCGCACACCAGAGGAGATACTATAGTCTCTGTGTCTTTTGAGCATACCTGATAACAAAAGCTAGATTAACAGAATTACAATACAGAGGTGCTTGGGTCCAAGCATAAGAGAATGCTGTGGTAGAGGGTGGATGTGAGCTGGGACCCACCATAGAATCCACTGCTTCAGCAAAGGACTTCACTAGCCAGGTACAGAAGTGCACACCTATAATGCTACCTACACAGGAGACTGAGGCAGGAGGATGGCTTGAAACTAACCAGGGCAGTATAGCATTCGTCTGTCACCAGAAGAAAATGTCAGGCAGGTGTGGGTGACACACACCTTAATCCCGGAACTTGGGGAGGCTGAGGCAGGAGGATTGCCATGAGTTTGAGAGCAGCTTGAGCTGTAGTGAGCTCAAGGCCAGCCTGAACTGCATAGCGAGACCCTGTCTCAAAAAAAAAAAAAAATCCTCTGTACCTATGTAAATCCCATAACTCTCTGTGGCAAATTGGAGTACTTTCTTAGCAATCCTTAAATCATTTTTGTAATCCTGTTTTATCTATGTAAATAACTAATTAGGACAAAGATGTATTTGAATTATGATTGTAATGTAATGGCAGATCTTAGCCGGTAACTTAATTGCTTTTTTGTTTTATTTTTCCTTTTCTTCCCTAGTGTCAGATCAACAGTGCCTTGACTTCTTTCCATACTGCTTTGGAACTTGCAGTAGATCAGAGAGAAATCCAACACGTCTGTCTCTATGAAATTGGTAAGAGGAAATGTTTTGCCCGGCTCTTAGGAAGTAGTATTGCTGTCATTCATCTGTAATGCTGCTCAGTTTGCAGAATGCAGTCTTGCATAATAAGGACTTTGATTGAGACCCAGCACGTGGAATGATACTTCTCTGATTCTCATTATTTCCTGAGAACATGTTCAGGAAATAGGTAATGCAAGTCATTTGTAAATACCTTATTGGACCGTGTATTGGTGCATCAAAGCTGTTCTTCCTCTCATCCAGTGCTTACTCTAGAAGAAAATAGAGCACAGGAGAGAGCTGAACCCCAAAACCAGCTCCCCTGCTAACTAGCCCTGAACCCGTGGACAGTTGCCATTTGGGGTGAAGGTACCCCCTTAGACGCTGTGGGGTTCAGATGGGAGGCCTGCCAATACTTGCCAACGGCTTCCTTCTTGGACCTTGCAGATAAATGTTTAAATGGACTTGGAAGTGTTTATTTGCCAAAGATTTCTCCTCACTCTCCCATGGTGTTGCTGAGTCTTTTCCTGACTGCACTCAACTCTCTGACCCTGGTACACTAGGGAAATCCGTTTCTGTCCCAGTTCCTCCACTGTGCTGAGCAGAGGAAGCCCAGCCTTGGCATCAAACAGAAATAATTTTTTAAAAATAAGAGTTCAGCAGGCCAGGGCTAAGCTATCCCTGAACTTCCCACAGTGGGGACTATCAGAGTGCTTGCTGGGGACCGGGGTCATCACCACATGTGGCTGAGCACTGCAGAGTAGGGTTTGCAGCCCTTTTGCCGCCACCCGGGCCTGGTGCTGAGTGTCACTTGTGTACCCTAACAGTGGGGTTTCAGAAGAGTAAAATGTTAACCCCAGAATGATGTGTTGTTTGTGGCTTGATTTGGACTAAACTGCTGTTAAAGAAATAAAAAGCTATAAATTGAATAAAAGGGGGCTGATATTAGAGTTTCAGCTTTACACAGCAAGTCAGCCCTGTCTTCGGCACATAGGCAGGGAATGAGGAAGGTGTGGAGAGAGGAGGGGCTGGGAAACCCAGCCTCAGAAAAAGCGGGGCTGGACAAGCTTTCTGCAGAGGGGCCTGGGTGGAGCGGAGAGTGGGGTAAAGCAGCTGTCACCTGTCACCTCTGGACCCTAGCTTGCTTTTGCCACTTGCCTCATCTGCTGTCGGCACTGTTGTCTTCCTGAATCCTTTTGAGGTAAAAGTGCAAAGGAAGACATTGGCAGCCACGCTGTAAACGACGTTTTCCTCGCCTGTTAGGGCTGAGGAAGAGAAATGACCTACCATCCAGCGGAAAAACCTATTTGTGTGTACTCTAAATGCTTCTTGACTTCTGTTTAGTAGCCATGCTACAAAAACTTCACTCTCAGAGCCCAGCCTGGGCAGCCTTTTCTAACACATCCTTTCAAGGTCTGTAGCAGGGATAGTGTGTCTGGGCAAAGGGAGCTCGGGGTCATCCACCCCAGGCCTGGACTTTGGCTCAGGAGAAAGTGATAGCTCAGGCTGCTCCTCCTAAAACTTTACTCTAAAATATAGTACATCCCATAGAATTTCACAGCATATTTTCTGGAAGTACGTAACCCCCTACCGATAACATAAACAGCAAGTCCAAGATTACACAGTCACCTGATGCCAGAATTATTTTTTATAGTAGTGTATAAAGGGGTGAGTGTTGGACCTTGACCCACAGTTCTTACTTCTTAATAGCCGAGTGGTCTTGAGCAAGACTCTGACCTTTGGGTCCGTTTGGTTGTTTGCTTGCCAATAGGAGGTCACCACCATCCGCCACCATTGCAAGATCACAGCAGGAATTATATGCGGGGCTGGCGCACCCTAGGGGCATGCGTGATAGAAGCCACTGTGATTTACCGTGAGAACTGAAGTCTCCTTTCAGTGCCGCTGTTCTTCCCCAGAATGCCGGTGTTTTAATGTAGGAAAGATGGGGTCCTTCCTCAGCACCCCACCAACATGCAAAGGAAGGGCGGGTGGTACTTCAGGATGCTTCAGGATTTTCTGAGGCACTCCCCAAGTATGCAGTCTGAGCCTACTGATCCCACTGCTACTGCTTAACCTGTTATTAAGGGCCTTGTCTGAAAGTATTTAAGGGGAAAAATATAATTTCTTTCTTAAGTTTTCAAGACAAAGTCCTTAAGTGGTGCCCGAAACATAAACAGACAGGGATAGCTAGCAGCAGCAGGTTGGTAGCTTAAACCATGGGCCACAGAGCTCTGTCCGTGGGGCGGATGCTGAAGTGTGACTTTTGCAGGTTGGTGCAGCATGATCGAGCTCAACTTCAAGGATGCGTTTGATTCCTTCGAGAGGCTGAAGAACGAGTCCAGGTGGTCGCAGTGCTATTATGCATATTTGACTGCAGGTGAGTGGACTTTCACAGGTAGCCCTCATGCCCTGGTGGGCGGGGAGCTGTGGCGGGAGGAGGCAGAGCTGGGGTTTCTCCAGCGTTTCCGCAGCATGTTAACATTTTAGACAGCCAGGTAAATAGCAGTGGCCTATACTGTACTCCCGGAGCCAGCAGGACTCGGAGAGACTCCGAGAGAGCCAGCCAGTACTGTGGCCCACGGCCCTGGCCCCGTGCTTGCCTGTTGGGCCTGCACGGTCCTGTGCTCCCTCTCAGAAATAACCATTCTGAGGCTTCTCAGATATGGGGCATTTTGCCCTCCATAGCCTCCACTTTTCTTTATTCCCTTTCTTTCTTAGTTGTGTTTTTTCATTAGGAGCTTTAAATAATTTTCAAGAATTGAACAGGCCTTTTTATCATGTTAATGTTTTGGTAGGTGTCCTTTGTGAGAAAACTGCATATGTTTGAGTCCTGCTCCAGTCTGTTAACTCCATTGTATTTTCAGTGCAGTGTTACAGGACGTGTGGTTTCAGAACAGCCGGAAACACCCTTTCTCCCCATTTCTCTCTCGCCTGGGTTGTTGAAGATGCACTGCCACCTGGTGGACACAAGTGTAATCTGTCCTCTGTGATACATAAAAGTGCTACATGTTTTGGAATTGTAGGGGTGTAGAACTGAAGGTGTTGCGTGTTCCTGCCTGTAAGAAGCTTTTGTGTAAATCTTCCCAGGTTTATGTGATGATGAACTCTACCTACTCAGCCACATAAGTGATTTTTTACCTAAAGTTTAAGACTCAGACTTTTTTTTTGTGCTGAGGTTGTCATCTTTTTAGCATGTATTCTGCCCCTGAGCTACACCTCCAGCCCCCCAGCATTATTTGAGATCCTTCCTTATTCTTCTTAATATTTGGATTTAATAAAACGTCTTGTTTTACTCTATCTTCTTAACTCATCTATTTAAAATAAGAGTTAACCTTAACTCATGTAAACGCTGGTATCTTAAAATCCTAATAAAATTGTATCCAACTACTAGCAGACTACTACAGAACTTCCATGTAATTACTTCTATGTGTTTATGCCCGCTACCTGATGTTTGAATAAGCTTGTTTTTTACATATGGATTAGATGCTGAGTCTCACATGTAAAGTGCTGTTTCATAGAATTTGCGGGCATCTCAGATAAAGTGGGAGCTATTCTTGAGTGGCCTGGTGGGCCCAGCAGTTGAGGAGTGGGTGACACCTGATTGCATCACCACAAAAGAGAGGCCTGCACGCCGCCCAGTGGTCAATAGGTGTAACTGAGCCAAACCACAGGGCAAGGCAGGCAGCTATTTATTCATCTCTATTGAGCATAGAAGAAAGAAACATACAAAAGAGCTATAGAGAAGCGTTTATTTTCCAGGGAGTTAGAAATCCCAGGACTACCGCAGTTGTAAGAGATGACCGACAGGGAAGTCTGCAGTCTCTGGCTCTGTCTGGGGGAGCTAGAGGAGAGGGCGCAATACATGTGAGCAGCTCTACAGCACAGTGTGCAAAGGTAGGAAGCCGCGCTGTACCCAGCCACCTGGGCTGCACGGCACCTGGCAGGCCCTGCCTTCTGAGCTGGCAGGAAGGGAAGGGATGCAGGGACAGGAAGGCGAGAGAGGAGGGTGAGTGTTGGAGGCCAGAGACCCTGCTGCCAGGACTGGACTCTGGGTCCTGTATATTTATATATATACTTTTTTTTTTTTTTGCCATTTCACTATTCAGGGACATTAAGTATGTTAACAATGTGGTGCAGCCACCGTCCATCCCTAGACCCGTTTTATCATCCACTTTGAGTCTCTCCTCACTAAACATTCATGCTGCATTTCCTCTCCTCAAGTCCCTGTTCCACGCTGCATTCTGTCTCTGGATCTGACAGTTCTGTGTACCTCATAGAAGTAGAATGTGCGCTGCTTGCCTTTTGGTGTCTGGTTTATTTCACGTAGCATGGTGTCTTTATGGTGGGTCCATATGGTAGCATCTACCGGAATTTCTTCCTTTTTAAAGCTGAATAGTTTTCGTTTATTGTATGTTAGATACCTGTCACATTTTGTTTATTTATTTATTGGTCCAGGGTTGCTTTTGACTTTTTTGAGTATTGCTTAGTATGAATATTAGGGCACAAACATTTATTCAAGTCCTTGCTTCCAAATCCTTCAGAACTGGAATTGCTGGATCATGGCCTTGCAACTGTTCTGAAAGCTTGAAATTATATCAAAATTATTACTAAAAGAGGTTTGCACTTCAGTTATAGTATGGTGTAAAGTGAGCTTTAGTGGAAATCCAGGCATTCTAAGTCCTGTGTAGGTCTCATATTTAGAGAAGAAGACCTTTGTGCTTTCAAACATGTACATCTTTTTTTAAAGCCATTTTTCCAGGCCTAGTAGTGCAGACCTGTAATCCTAGCACTATGGCAGGCCAAGGCAAGAGACAAGAGAATCATAAGTTCAAGCCCAGCCCAGACAACTTAATGACTTAGTGAGACCCTGTCTCAAAATTTAAAAATTAAAAAAGGATGAGGATGGAGCCCAGTGCAAAGGCCTTAGGTCCTCAGTTCAAAAAAAAAATCTCCAACTGTCCTGCAAGAGAAGTAGATGGATCTCTTCCCCAGGGTCTGGAGCATTACAATTATAGGCCTTTTAGTGGTGTTTTCAACTCTGGTTTTCAACTCTCCATCTCCCTCTTGGGCCTTAGGCATAGGACCATCGATCTCCTGTTCATAATAAAACACTGACAAACATGTATTTTAGTTTCAAGGGACCCCAAGATGATCAAAGCCCAGTGATGGGCTAGGACCATGAGACATGGTGTCTTTGGCTCTTATTAGGTGCACAGCTTGATTGTGGGGGGTGTGCTGGTGGGCTGCAGGCTGCAGAAAGTAGTGGGAGTGAACTAATGTGGTCAAGGTTCAAGAATTGAGGAATGATGCGTTTTTGGAAAAGCACACAGGAACAGATCAGGGATCACTGGTAACCTGATTGTCTGCTAACTGGGACTGCCTAGCTAGAAAGAATTTGCACGAGTCAAGCCCTCAGCTGCCGTGTCATTTTTCTTTGAGTCTCCAGAACGGCACAGGCTGTTTGCTGGCCTTGGCTCTGGCCATTGGCTTAAAGATTAATCTGTCCCTAAGCCAGTTGGGGACCTCACCACAAGTCATTGTAGGCCTGGAATAGGTTCGATTGATTTTTGTGCCAGTTTATTAATTATTGCCTGCATGTACAGCATTAAGCTGGTTCTCAGTGCCCTCTTCTCCTCTCCCTCATTCTGTCTCTGTCTGTCTGTCTGTCTGGCTGGCTGGCTGGCTGGCTCTCTCCCCATCTTAACTTCCCTGATCTGTGTCCCCTGATCTTTAAAACAGTGAGGCTGGTTACATAAGACATCTCTGCTCTTCCTTCTGATGCTACCATGTTGCTGCTGCATCGGAGGAGGCCATTTGGAGTTGATGCTGACTGGGGCTGCACCAGTGGCTGCGAATGGGTTGTCTCTTCCTTGGAATATTCACCTTAAGCCCTGTGACTCCCAGGAAGAATCCCTGCCTTTCCTATCACCTGGCATCTGCAGCTTTCGATAGACATTGCTTCTGCTTCCTCTGTGCTGCTCATGTGACTCATCCTCGGATGTTTCACACCCCTGTGCTCTGCCTGACCAGGCCCACAATGAAGTGCAAGGCCACCAGGTTTTAGGGGCCTTTGAAGAAAAGAGGCGGAATCCTGAAGTTGACTTCAGACCATTCCAACTGGGGAGCAAAAAGCAACCTAAGGTCAAGACAGTAGCTAAACAGAAATGAACAGAAGTGAATTCCAAGTGATAGGGGTCGAGTGAAGGGTGAACAAGAGAGGTGGCGAAGGAGCTGGGCGAGCGCTGGGTGTGAAGTGTGGAGAAGGGAGAGGGCAGAGGAAGAAAGGGGCGGAATGAAGTCCAGTGTGTTGGGACCCACAGATGGGATGGGGTGCGGATGGAGCACTGACTTACTTACCACCCATCCTGCAAGGCTCAGCTTGCTGTCTCCCAGCTCCTCGCAGCTTCCCAGGCCCCACAGAGAAAACAGCCTTTTTTCTCGAGCGTTTCTAGAAGCTGTTGCTTCCCCTCCCCTAAGGCTTGCTGTCACTATATGCATTATAGCTTTGGCCCTTCTGTGTGTGACCCCTGTAGCTGAGATTGGCGTATCTTTGGGGTGCAAGCCTGTGTGCCTCCTCTTCCGGGGCTGCCTGGGGCCTTGTGGAGGATGGAGACTGACAAACACATGCAGGACAAATTCATGACTTATTTTTCCCAGGATAGGAAAACCTCACACTGCTTTCCGGATCCCCTGAGCACCTCAGTCCCTTTCTTAGAGTCCTTGTTACTCCATGCTCTGAGTATGTGGGCTCCATGTAGGATGCTGTGGTGGTAGCTGGGATTTGGTTGCATACAGAGCTCCAACGAGGGGACAAGGGCATGGCCCTTTGTGTCCTTCCAAAGCTCTGAGAATGCAGGCACCTGTGCAATAGCTGAAGGGAGCGGGTGGCAGCCAGCAGAGTGGTGCAGTCCTGTGTGTAGCAGCGTTCGGACACACTTGTTCCCAGTTCTTCCTGCTGTCATCAATGGAGGCTTCACTTGGTGGCGTATTCTGCCTGAGACTTGAGAAATACAGTTCTGGTTTCTTCCAGTTTGTCAGGGAGCCACGGGTGATGTGGATGGGGCACAGATCGTTTTCAAGGAAGTTCAGAAGCTCTTCAAGAGGAAAAACAATCAGATCGAGCAGTTCTCGGTGAAAAAGGTATGTAGGGCCCGGTCAGTCTGCTGCCTTATTTATCGCAGGTGTTTGAAACCAACATTGCTGGAACAAGCTTTAAGGGCCTGCGTGCAAAGCCCGTGCCGTGCTCGGCCTGCAGGATGCAGTTCACCCCCGTAGGGAGTTTACTCCTGCCATCCTGCTTCTGCTCTGAATCATGTGCTGCTTTTTCTGCAAATAATGGAATCAGATTTGAGAAAATTAAAAAGTAAACAGAGACACTACAGGCCCCGCAGAGGTAGGGGCCGGTCCTGAGAGAGGCCGTGTCTGCCCACAGGGAGGGAGTTTCAAAAGAATCCAGACACACGGAGCCTCACAAGAAGCACACCACGTGGCCCTCAGGATGGGGCTGTGTCATGGTTCACTCTGACAGAAAGCAGAAGTGCACCAGCTTGACCAGCAGAAAGCCCAGCACCTTAGGTACCATGTCCCAGACTTACTCTGCACTTCTGAGAATGAGATTTCACTAGATTACCTCGGGTTATGAAATATGTCAGGTCCTAAATTCTGTGTGATTTTAGTTTTGTGAGTTTCCTTTTACTCCATGAGTGTTTTTTTTTTTTTAATTTTATTCATTTCTATTGAATGAGTACTTCATGAATTTATTGGAGTATAAGTTAGATTCTGATTTGGAATGCAACTTACATCCTGGGGCTGAGGAGAAAACTTAAACATTGATCTGCACTGACACCCATCCCATCCTGCATACAGACAGGTGGGGTTGTAAACACAGTGGTTCCTACTGAGCCCGGTCTCTGCCCTTGTGTTCGGGGCACATACACCCCGGGAGTAGGTTTAGGGCACATCTACAAGCTCAAGGCACAGCTACAGCTGTCTAAAAACTGGAAAGCAAATCTTTTTAAATACAGAGAGCTCGTCGTTTTAGCTCAGAGGAGAGGATCATTCCCATTGACTGGGAACCCTCTCCTAAGCGTCTCCTAAGTGTGTTTTAGATTTAAATCTGTTCTCAGAAGGCAGAGCCTGACCCACTAACTCCTCGCAGGCAGAGCGATTTCGGAAGCAGACCCCGACCACAGTGCTGTGTGTGCTGGCGTCCATCGAGGTGCTGTACCTGTGGAAAGCGCTGCCCAACTGCTCCTTCCCCAGCCTGCAGAGGATGAGCCAGGGTAAGAACAGCTGTGCACACCGCGGTGCTGGCAGCAGCTCTTTTCCGACCTGGTGAACCCGCTGTAGGGCAGATCCTGCCGTCCCCTGGGTGATGGGGCGGGAGGCGCTGGGGTAGACACCTTGTTAGGAGTACACGTTACTACTTCTGCAGTTACAGGGGTTGCTGGGAGCGTATGTATTTTTTTCCCTGTGAAAGCACTTTGTGATTTGTTTATTTTTGCTGTAGTGGGGACCGAGCCAGAGCCTTTGCATTAAGCTGCACCCCAGCCCTTTTTTTGTTTTTGTTTTTGTTGTTTTTGAAGCAAGGTCCCAGTACGTTGCTCAGGCTGGGCTTAAACTTGTCGTCCTCCTGCCTTGGCCTTCCAGTGTGCTAGAATTATGGGTGTGTAATCCTGTTGTTTTATAGAGGTGTGATTTATGTACATAAAATACACAGATATTAAGGTGTCCTGTTCAGTGACTTACAATATAAATAGAGCCTCCATCTTCAGTCACCACGCAGAGCACTCCCTCCTCCCCTCACATTTCCTTTGTGTTTCAGGTTCTGTGCTCCTGGGTTAGTTCTGCCTGTCCTTGAACTCAATATAACTGGAATCATATAGGATCTGCTTTTTTGCACATTGCTTCCTTTGTTCACCATCATGTGTGTGAGATTTATCCATGCTGTAGCCTGCGTGTGTAGAGATTGCTTTCAGTTGCTGAGCAGCTCTCCGTTGTATGGCTGTACCGTACTACTATTAGCTCATTCTCGGAGCTCCCAAAGGACATTTTTTAATAGCGCTCCTGAGTAAAGCTGCTGCATGTGTAAGTGCACAACATAAGTTTGCAAATCTTTTGCAGAGACACACATGCTTGTTTCACTTGGGAAAGTACCGTGGAATGTAATGATAAACCTGCATTTCTTTTGATTCATGATTTAGAAAACCCATAAGCCATAGATAACTATGCTAAAACTATTTTTGTTATGGTTTTAACAAAATTTCACAGGGAGAATACATTTGTAATGAGAATGGGGCTTTGTTGATGACTTAAAGACATAATGCAGCGGCTGGGGATTTAGCTCAGCGGCATAAGCACCTGCCTTGCAAGCAGGCGGTCGTGAGTTCGATCCCTGGTACCAATAAAAATGAAAAAGACAAAAAAAAAAGACATAATGCAATGTCTCTTCTAAAGGTTTAATGGAAGGCATCAGAATGGCATTTTGTAGCTGAGCAAAGCCTGTGCTGTGCAGTGGAGTCATGGATGTAGGAAAGGCAGCCCATGCTGCAATGAGCCAGTGCTCTCCAGACAGCCTGATGACTTTCTCAGGTCCCCTGGGCACTAGCGTCCCTGCTGCTGGTCTGAGGACTGCACGCTGGTGGAGTGGCAGAGCCTTTAGCAATCTTACACACAGCCTCATCTTCCTCAGGAGGGTGAACAAGCTTAAGTTTTGCTTCCAGAATTATGACTACAAGGTGAGACTACTGTGTTATAATAAAATACATACCCCCAAAAAGATGGTCTCAGAGAAAGCATCTTTGGAAAATATTCTTACTTTATAGACTGCTATTTCCAAAAGAGATTTGGCAGACTGTAAGCCATGATAGAAGATTTGGCAGACTTTTCTGTGGTCACATTTGTTTTTGACCAAATGTTATTATCCATTGAATTGCATGTTCTTAGCATATTTTCCTACAGATTAATTTTTGCCTCTTACTTTAAAAAACAAAAGCAAGAAACTTTGCCCTTAAAATCTGCACAAAACTTTTTCAATGTTGATATTCCAGAGAGCATAGGGAACCCCAAAAGGAGTTTCACACCGTGGCTCCATCATGAGAGCAGGTATGTATCCTCCCAACAAGAAGAGGGACAATTAGAAAGGGGACATAATTTCCTTGGATGTGCAAGTTCTGCTATGATCGTTTTTAAAAAGAGTTGCATAATTTAAAGATCTTCTCTCATTGAAGCAAGTATAGTCTGTCTACCAGTGTCTAACTCAAGGGAACAATAAAGTATCTTAAGAGTCTATTTTATTGCACAAGTGCAGAGTTATATATTGAGAGATAACTAAAACAAACGCAAGTATAAGTAGGTAGTAATTGACAGGCACAAGAATAATTATCACTTAAGTGAGACTTGATTACGTATTCTCTAAACCCCTTTCCAGGATTCAAAATGAACAGACTAATAGCAAAGGTCTGTGGATGGAGAAGGAGGCACTCGGCAGTGGACATGAGATTGTTTTTGAGTAACTTTTTAAAAAGCTAACCATCCCGTGGGATCTGTTTATTGGACGCTGTTCCTCCCCAGTGCTAGGGATAATGCTCTGTATCAGCCCGGCCTGGGCAGTGCAGTGTGGGTCTTTGTAGAGAGAATGTTGCCTTCCACTGAACCCTGCCAGCCCTCGGTGTGGATCAGTAGTGATTGTGAAGCTGTGCACCAGGCCTCGGAGTTCTGTGTCCTGAACATGTCAGTGTCCCCATCTGTAACTGCCTGTGTCAGCGGAGCTGGGAGGTTGCTGACCCTGGTCTGGCGGTTTCATTCTTAAATCCTGCTTCCTACTGCTGACCTCAGCTGCTGCACAGCTGTGTGTTCGCAGCAGAACAACAAGGTGACTCTGTTGCAATCTAAGTCATACTGTGTCACCCTGCTTCTCAGAACCCTCCACAGTTCATTGTCACATCTGGAGTAGATGCCAACCTTCATTGACCTGCACAATTGTCTGTCGGCTCTGGCTCCTAGGTCCTTGGGCTTTAGCCCACACTGCCTTCTGGTTCCCCCAGCATTGTTGGCCTCAGGGCCTTTGCACACGTTCTTCTCATGATGCAAATGTTCTTCTCTTGGAACCTACATAGCTCTTTCACTCATTTCCTTCACATCTTCCTCGTTTGTCTACCTTGTCTGCACACACTCTTCCAATCTCCCTTCCTGCTTTTTTACCTTAGCACTTTTTATTTAACAAGTATATTTTACCTGTTTTTTGCAACATTTATCTTCTCTGCCAGATGTAAGATTCTGAAGAGCAGGAATATTTCTTTTCCTGGCATAAGTTTTACTTATTGCTAAGATCATATTGCTTTAATATTTTAAGTAATTTGCAATTTTCAGAAATAGAGGAATAAAAGGCAAAATAGAAGTGTCCCTAGATTCCAGACACCATCTCTCCAGAAAGATACGTGCAGCTGAGGTTTGTAGTGACCCGCTGAAGATGCATGTCTGCTAAGTGTGTAGTGGTGTGTGTCTGGTGGTGTGTATGTGTGTACATACAGTCACAGCCACCTCACCCGTGTCCAGGTTCTGCACCTGTGGATTCAACATCCGTGGATGAAAACATTTGGGGAAGAATTTGCATTGTTGCGGGGCACGTGCAGACTTCTCTCCCTTGTCATGAGCCGCGGGAGAATACAGTGTGGTGACTGCCTACACACATGTGGCCTGTTAGGTGTCAGAGTAATCCAGAGACGATGTCAAGTGTATGGGAGGAAGTGGGCTGGTGATATGCAACACCACACTGTTTTATTTAAGGTAGTTGAGCACCTGCAGATTGGGGGATCCTTGGAGCACCTTGGAAGCAGGCTCTGAAGGATCCCAAGGGATGACTATACATAAAAAAGGGATCACAAGCTGGGCGTGGTGGCTCACACCTGTAATCCCAGCACTCAGGAGGCTGAGGCAGGAGGATTGTTGAGCATCAGCCTGAGCTACAAAGTGACTTCAAGGCCAACCTGAACTGCATAGTGAGACTCTGTCTCAAAAAGACTAAATAAATAAATAAAACACAGTCTCTTCCTGCTGTTTGACCCTCAGTTTTTTCACTGAACAAGATTTTCGAGGACGTCTAACATCAACAGAGATCTGCTTCCTTCCTGTGAATGTCTTGGTGGTATTCCACCGTGTAAGCACAGACAGTTATTTAACTGGTGCCTGACCTGAGAACACCTAGCAGCATCCAGTCTTTTGCTGCGGCCGACTGCCTTGTGCTTCGAGGCTGTATTTACACATACATTCTTGTATCTGTATACCCGCGTCACCTGTAGCATAAGAAGTGAAATTTCTGGGTCAAAAAGAACGTGCTCAGGCGGGAGGGTGTAGCTCAGTGGTAAAGCACATGCTCAGCACACACAAGGCCCTGGTTTGATCTGTAGAGCCCCCAAATATGTGCTAGTCAGTATTTTTATGAATTTTTCCTCTCTGAGCACTTCATATCCAGTTGCGGCCCCTCCAGTGCACTGCGTCCCCGCCAGTTCTCCACAGCTTTGCCATTCTGCATGACTAAGGCCTCGCTCACACTCTTCCCACCCTGACCACACCTTCTGCTTTCTGCTGCTGTGAACTGGATCGTTTCTGCTAACATAGGTGGACTCTTTGGCCTTCTGTGACTGGCTTGTTTCACTCAGCATCACGTCCCCCAGGTTTACCAAAGTTGTTGTGTGCAATAAGGATTTCTTCTTTTTAAAGGATGAATAATCTCCCCTGGTGTGTATATGCCACGTTTTCTTTATCTGTTCATCTGTTGATGAGTCTGGATAGTTCTTCTGTCTTGGCTGTTGTGAATCATGGTGCAGTGAATATGAGAGCGCAAATTATCTCTGAGATCCCGAACTCGGTTCTGTTGGGTAAATTCCCAGAAGTGAGTTCGTCAGGTTGATGTTAGTTCTAGCTAATGTTTGAGGAGGCGCCACGCTGCCTTCCACAGCAGCCACACCATCCTGCCGACTGTGGACAGGGTTTCAGTCTCCTGGTATCCACACCAGCACTTGTTGTTTTTGTTTTGCTTTGTTTGTTTTGTTTTGTTCATAATGGCCATCCCAACAAATACGAGGGAGTGTGTCCTTGGAATTGGGTTTCCATTTGGCTCCTGAATGATGGTGTTGAGCACATTTTGTCAGCATCTGTTGGCCGTTTGTGTGTCTTTAGAGAAATGCCTGTTTCAGTTCATTTTTTAGGACAAGAATTTTTGTCTGTTCTGTCAAGGTTGTATTCTCTTCTTTTTGTTTTTGAGACAGGGCTCACTGGGTGGTGCGCTGGCCTTGAACTCACTATGTAGCCCAGGTTGGCCTTGATCCCTCTGCCTCAGTCATCATCAAGGAACCAAACCGACATGACTTAATCCGGGAAGTCCACAGTCACCCTGGGTTGAGCTGCAGATTTTGGCCTCAGCGCAGAGGGCTGAGTCCATCCGTGCAGCCCCCCACCAGTCCTGTAGCTCACCTGTCCTCCTTTGCTCGCTGTGACAGCTCCTGAGCTTTTTACCGTCTCCATACTTTTGTCACCTCGTTGGAATCCTACACAATGTAGTCTTTTCAGATTAGCTTCTTTCACTTAGTAATAACATGATACAAATTTTGAGGATTTTTTGATATAAACATTATTCACTCATAAACTTCAGAATCTAAGAGTAGTTCTAACAAAAGCTGAAATCCTTTAGAGTGGTACTCAGGTAAGTACATATAATATATAATATCCATTTCAAGCTTCTAATCTTAACTGAGTATCTAGACTATTGCTAACAAGTTTTTAAATGAATGAAAAGTTTTCTAAGCCTTAAATCTTACATGTGTCTATATCAAAGGTTTGTGTGTGTATTTTGGTTTGGGCTCATTAGAGATTGGCATTTTTGCCTTTCTTTGATTAAGGATTCTGAGTCTCTGGGGGCAGAAGCACAAACCAAAGAAGTAGCTGAACAGTGAAACAGTCACTTCGCTCTTGGCAGAATTCAAGGGATTAACTGTTTGTTTGTTGGCTGTTTGGCTCCCCTTCTCCTTCAGCTTGCCACGAAGTGGATGACTCGTCAGTTGTTGGCCTAAAGTATTTGCTCCTTGGTGCCATTCACAAATGTCTAGGGAACTCGGAAGATGCCGCTCAGGTAAGCTGTTAATGTGTTATGGGCCACCAATGTCTGTGCTGGGGAGAAAAATGGAAAAGCACTGAATGCCGCCTACCCTCTTGCTGTACTAAGAGCTCTATCTGCTTTGCTTGATGCTGCTTTTCAGACACTAGAAGTTGATGACCAGTAAAGTATGTTTTTAATGTAACTGTAGATTTTTCCTTTTTTTTTTTTTTTTTTTGGTACCAGGGATTGAACTCACAATCTCACGCTCGCCACACAGGCACTTATACAACTGAGCTAAATCCCCAGCCCTGTAACTGTAGATTCTTAAGACTTCTTTAAATATGGGCTTCTTTTCTGGCACTAGTTACTAAAGAAAACCAACAGTTTCAGAAAGAGGGGGAGGGAGTGAGACAGACATTGGAAGGAGCAGAATGAAGCCTCATAGTTAAATGAAAAACAGAAATGATCAGGTGTGTTAACACGCGTTCACTTTTCTACTTTCAGAGCTTATAGGTTATTAACGTGGGATTTAAGCTGCTGGTTTAGGCTGGAAATGGAACCCCGGCCTCATACATGCCGGGCAAACACTCTACCACTGAGTTGTACCCCAGCTTGGTTAGTTTTTAAAAAAAATATTTTCCAGTGTTACTCTGACTACTCTTAAGGAGGAGTTCATATAGAACAATAGGAGACTTGCTTTTTTAATCCTAGCATGTCAAAGTACTTATAATTCTACACTAATTTTGTGGTGTGGGCTTGTGATAGATACTGCATAGCTCTACGTATGCTGAGGTATCAGCAGGATACATTTGAAACATATCAAGAGATGGTTCTTGGCTTGTTTTTCTGTCTTAAATATTAAAATGGAGATGTTCAGATTTTTAAACGCAGATATAGATGTTTGGCAGCAGTGGGACCAGTAGAAGTTGCTGTGTCAGCTGGAATTAGGCTGCCTGGTGGACAGAATGTTCTGTTGGAAGCTTATCAGGCAGGCATGGAAAGGCTTCTGAGATGGGCGGGGAATGGATAGGAAGGAATAAAGACAAGAAAAGAAGAGAAAATCTTAACCTTGCACCTGCCTCCTGAATTGTGATGAGCCTTGCACCAAGTAGGAATGTGACTTAGTTCCAGGAACATTTGTATTATTTCAGTTCTTTCAGCGAGCTGCTAAAGATGAGCTGTGTCGTCAGAACAACTTATATGTTCAGCCCTACGCTTGCTATGAACTTGGCTGTCTTCTACTAGACAAACCAGAGGTAAGATGTTACAGATAAATTTTAATAACAGTTATCAGCAAAAACGTACACATGAGCAGGTGCAAGCTGTCCTGCATTTAAAACCAACTGAACCTAGTTATGTCTATTTTGCTTTCCTCGGGTTCACATAGGATGAATCCAAGAAGGTAGTAACCCTCTCTTAATGTCGTTGAGGAGATAATATCCTTGCTGGAACTTGAATTACGAATATAATTTTCAGACAAAGATTAACTTGAGGGACTGTCATGTTTTCAGAATGGTAGGACATGGAGGTCTAGAACTGTCATGCTCTAGGCCTGCTGTGTTTAGCATATGGTTCTGGTCACATTGCTTCAGCAAATACCTTTTTCCTGTAGCTATCTTGTCAGTAAATATCTTGTCAAGTCAGTGAAGACTGTAATGAGAATATATAGAGTATGATGACTTTAAACAAAGAATACCGTAAAGTGACCATTCTGATATATATTTAAGTGAGCATGGTGGATTCACGTGTGGGCCTTTTGTTTGTTTAGCAGAGCCTGAGTTTGCTCGGTACTTTCTTTCAGAAGCTTGTTCCCATCTAGGGCTTTCTAAATATTCAGCTTCATATATGGGTTGTCTAAATATTCGGCTAAGTGAACAGAAGTAAGACTCTGGCCTAATCATTAAACATGTAAAGTTGTTTTAATAAGAAGGTCTAATTCTGTCAAAACAGAAAATGTAGTTTTTACAAATTTGGATAGAAACTTCCACTGCCATATTCTTTACTTTAATGAAAGTTTTATTCTTCATTAGTACATAGTAGTTCAAGTCCAGCCTGGACTACACAGTGAGACCCTGTCTCAGACAAATAAACAAACAAACATATTGCTATAGCCTTAATGTAGATACACAAAATATAAAGACTGGCCTGTTTTTCGAAAGTAAAGTTGATATTCTCACTTAGCATTACCTTCAAAAGGAGATATATCTTACTGTATTTAGGTGAAACCTCTTAGATATAATTTTAGATTGTCAATAAAATTTTAATCTTGTGTATTATGCCTTAGTTGTTTACTTTTATAGATGAATAGTGACAACTATGAAAAATCAGTTATCAAGTCATCCCTTGATTTAACCTCTTAAATACCTTTATATTAAGGAAAAGTTGAGACTTTGCTTTGAGGGAACGGTTGAGGCAGCTCTGTACTGTGGGTGTAGCTCTCTCCCCCTCCTGCAGCGACATTTTCTGCTTGAGTCTATGTGAATGTGGCCAATAAAGATAACATGTTTTTCTTATATTCAGACTGTAGGAAGAGGCAGAACTCTACTTCTTCAAGCAAAGGTAAAACTCCTCACGCTGCTGCTTTCCCGCAGCCCTTCTTTCCCAGTTCACGTACCTCTGAACATTTGTAAAGAGATGTTCTGTTCCAGGTTAATTCTGGAAAGGGGAAGTGAGAACTGATTAATTCAGTGAGCACTTGATTTTTAAGTAAAATTTCCAAGATTGTAAAATATTCCTGCTGGACGTGGTAGCACACACCTGTGACTCCAGCACTCGAAGCTGAGGCAAGAGGATCACCATGGATTTGAGGCCAACCTCAGCTATATAGTGAGTCTGAGTCCAGCCTGGACTATGCAGTGAGAACCTTTCTCAAACAAGCAAACAAACAAATAAACATATTGCTATCGGATATTCCAAGGAGAGTGTTCAGCCTATTTTATAAATGCTTTAGTCATAGTGTTTGGGTGAGCAAATAAAAGTTTTTTAATTTTTGAGACAGTGTCTCACTGTCTTGCCCAGGCTAATGTCAAACTCCTGGGGTTCAAGTGAGCTCCCTGCCTCAGCCTCCCAAGCAGCAGGAGGGATCATAAGCAAGCACCTCCTCCAGAGAAAATAAACTTGCTTTTATAACTGGGTCCTTGAATTAAGAATTTCTAACAGTAGTTTAAAATTACTGTTTCAATAATAATGAGAAAAAAAATCCCCAGAGAACACTTTCAGCCTTCAGTTTGCATTTTAAAAACTAAGCACAGGTATGAAGTTTGAGAAATAAGAAAATCAGCTGGACGCGAAGCCTCTCCTGGGCGTGTGCGGAATTTGACTGGGGGAGAATGCAGAGCTGCGTGGTTCCCCCTCCTCCCTGGGCAAGCTCAGCTAAGTTCACCCTTGTCTCTCTCTGGCTCCACAGGAGGATTTCTCTGGCTACGACTTTGAAAACAGACTGCACGTCCGCATCCATGCTGCTCTGGCCTCCCTGAGGGAACTGGTTCCTCAGTGACCAGCCTGATGGGACGCTGAGTCCCCCACTGTCTGGGGCTGCACTTTAAAATCAAAGCAGAGGACAGAGCTCTCACGAAGATCGGCTTTCCTTCTGCAGACCACCTGTGCCAGGGACACATTTTCCCAAGCAAGCTGACATATTAAAGCTCTCCTCTTTTAACCATGTAGCTAAGAAATGATGATGATGGTGGTGACGATGATGATGGCCGTGGTGGCGGAGGTGGCGGTGGTGATATATCCAGCCACCTGGGGAGAGGGTGAAGTGACCTTGTTCAAACGTTTTAGTTTTGTGATTTATTATTTTTAAAATAAAATCAAACTAAATATTCATCCTGTGACCTCATAGGAATGCCTACCTTAAGCACACACCTGAATGGGTAACATGAAGTGGTACCAGTGGAACCATGATCAGTGTCGTTAGTAACAATCGCACTTATATTGTGTTTTAAAAAGATTAAAAAGTACATTCTAGTGTTTTACTTTAGCCTTAGAATATCCCTGTGAACCATGTAGCACAGATACATTATCCCATTTTACAGACAGTGAGAAACTCAAGCACAGGAAGGCTAACTGACTTATTCCGGTGAACTATTTCTGGTATCGCTGGAGCAAAGAATAGAAAACATTTCCTGGCCACCAAATGAACATTCTTTTATCAAAGGGGAAAATCCCTAACCGTACTAATACCCCACAATATTTTATGTATTAAAAGCACAAACGCTCTTCAGCTGAAGTTGTGACATCTAAAATATTCATCTGCAAATTGTCTATAAAACTTCTCGAAGTGATGAGCGCTGGTTTTTCTTTGAAAGCCAACCAAGCAGGAGCAGATAGAAGACAATTTTATAACTGAAAGTATGCCTGTTAGCTGGTCTATTAGAAAGCCCAGTCTGTAGATAACACCGTTATCTGGTCGGGAGCTAGGAATCACCCAGCCTGTGAGTTGACTGTGATCTGCTTGGTAACTTTGCTTGTTGTAAATTGCTCTTTTCCCCTTGCTGATGAAGAAAATAATCACACAAGTAGGTTAGATAAATAACATGTACATTTTAGGAATTTCTCTTTGTGAAAATTGTCTAATAACCAACATTTTGGAACTCTTAACAGATTAACTGGAAAGATGTTTCTTCAATGTAGGCTTTTGCCTCAACATATTTGATGGTGAAATTATTTGCTGGGCTGTCTGTTGCCAGGATTTAATCATTTGCCCCTAGCTCAGGTTGTTCGGTATTTTAGAAATAGTCCAAAGTTCTTTGTTTTATCCCTTCATTGCTAATTTTTGTCAATATTTACTTTACCTCTATGCCCAGTTCTGAATACTTGTGATTTTCAAGGATCTAAATACCTGGGTCATTTTTAAGAGTCTTTGCTATCATGTGGCTCAATCTTTAAGTGTTTTTTAATTTATATTGAGCTAAATAGTATCATTTTAACATATCCTTCATTTACATATCTTTTTGGCTGAGGCATGATCTTATGTGATATTAATATCTAAATATTTATAAAATGTAAAAAAATCAGCTTGAAAAAAAATCAAATTTAATCTTGTTTCCAGGAGGAATTTCTTTGGAAGAAGTTACCCCTCACTGACTTGCTAACAATCATGTTTTCTCATCTCTGCTATTGATCATTTTGAGTGGACACTTTCCAGAGTATTTACTCAGCTTGGCTTCCTGCTATGAATCAAATGTAGATTTTATGTTTTTATTTTTATTTTTTGATACTGGGGACTGAACTCACGACCTCATGCTTTCTAGGCAGACGCTTGTGCCGCTAAGTTACATCCCCAGCCCTTTATTTTTTTAAGAGTAGGAAATGTCTGTTGGGGGGTTAGAAATAGTTCTTGAGAGAGAGGAGAGGTCCAGGATTGTGACCACCAGGCCCACGTAATTTATACAGCGAAGTCACAACATGGGTGCAACATGGGTCAAACTACAGTCAACTTAAAGATATGTGTGGATTTTAGATATGAGCAAGAGAGAAAAGATCGCTATTCTGTGTGCACTGAATTAGTTCATCCATAAGCCAAGAAGAGAAAATTTTTCTAAAGAGAGAAATAGGTGCCCCAAAACACTACAAAGTGACTACAGGGTAGAACATTACAAATCTTTCCAGTATACCTGTTACCATTTGTCTTTCTTCATCCAAAGTGTATGTGGTAAACTTTTCTATTATGATCATGGAGCCTTCTGAATCGTGAAGCTCCACTCCAGTCATTCATGCTTGAATTTTCAGTTCAAATAATGTTCAGACTATTATTCCAAATTCAAACATTGCAGAGTCTTGTGCTTTTAATTTTTGAAAAAAACCTACTTGTACATAACTTACTGTGAAAATTATTTTCATTTCCCCATAGGGATTTCAGGATTTTAAAGTATGTTTGTGTTCAGCTCAGTTCACTTTGACAACCAGGTTTTCTTTCCTACTCAAAGCATAGGTCTGTCCAGCCTCAGTTCAGATAACCCCCGTGCTCTAGCTGTGGTGGGAGATCACCGGCAGAGAGTGGAGGGAGATTCCAAACCACAGTGTGAAAACACCGGACTCTTAGATTGGCTGAAACCCAAGCACACGCTAAGTGAAGTAATTATCTGGTCGCACCAGGCCTGTGAGTTGACTGTGATCTGCTTGGTAACTTTGCTTGTTGTAAATTGCTCTTTTCCCCTTGCTGATGAAGAAAATAATCACACAAGTAGAACTATTTGCATCTCTGTGTGCCGGTTTTTTTTTTAATGTTGCCATCACTTTCCCCTTTCCCATTTTGCAGTCTCAAATGGAACTTCTAATTTATAAATGTCAAATATATTTTTGTATTAGATTGTGCCTATGATGAGAGAGCGCTCAAATGTATATTTTATGTATGCTGAGCATTTTTATAATTTGACAGACTTGAAGGCATGGTCTGGTAATAACAATGTAATCTGTACTTTACTGGTTAATATATTTAAGATTTTGCCTTTATTGGGTTAGGCATCTTTTTTATTTTAGTTCCTGATGGATGTGTCTTCTGCCGAGTAAACAATTATAACTTTGAGGTGTCACACAAAATTAGAATATTTATTATCATATAGTATATAAGTCAATTATTTACTGAATTTGCACTTTTATATTTTAGCCAAATAAAACAATGCATATCTGATTTTTTTAAAACCACACACACACACACACACACACACACACACACACACCCTTTACCATGCAAACTTTTCTAGTTGACTTCTCCCTTAAGCAATAGTGGTGGCAATGCTCAAATATGGCTTTATGAAGATACTTTCATGCTGTCATGGTGCACTGTTTCGATTCTGTGATTGGTATATTATGGAGAAAGACAGTTGTCAAGCCCAGATCATTATAAGAAAATATATACCAGAGCCAGTGACTTAGAGGCTAGAAAGAGAGAATGAAGAAATGGAAAAGGACACTAGGAACATAGAATGAAGAAATGGTTCATACATGAAACAGCGTATCTAGCTTTCTTCTAAAAACCAGCAAGGAGTTGAGTTGTCTCCTTGACCTGGATATGAAGCAGCACATGTAACCCATGTGACTTCTGAGTAGCAATTGTTCTTCCCACTGGCCAGCAGTTCTCAATTTTTGTGTTTCAAAGATTAGCCCTTCTAAGGTTCTGATTCAGCAGGTAAGGCTCAACAAGGCTTTTTTTTTTCTTTCTTTCTTTCTTTTTTTTTTTTTTTTTTTTTTTTTAGCTCCTGGAGTGATTCCAATGCATGTCTGGATTAGACAAATAATGCCTGAGGGCTAGCCTATCATCTTGTATTTTAATCAGGCAGAAGAGTCAGGCGCAAACAATTATATAGGTAGGTTAAGTTCAGCCATAGAATTACTGAGCCAAGAAGGAATATTTGGCTTTCTGGTGTAGACTTCTGGGCTGAGTTTTAAAAGTTCAGAAGGGTGCAGTAAGGTGAAAATGATGAGTGGACTCTGAGGTCTTGGGCCTAACAAGCTAAAGCAGAGGTAACAAAAGCATGTGTGTTTAAGAATCTGGGGAGTTGTCAAAAAGATGGAGAGTTGGCCAGTTTCTCTGGGGAAAGCACACATAGGCCACACCAAGAGTTCAGCTTCTCTTGGGTAAAGACTAGGGGTGTGGGTAGGGGGACAGTGGAAAACAAGGTAGATTGCCATTTTTTATTAGATTGGTATTGACCAAAAGCCAGACGAACACAAGGACAAGAAGACTGAAGCCATTTCAAATCATTAGGCATTCAAGAAATCAAAGCAGCAAATGGGGGAATGGCTTGAAAAGTCTTGGTTAAATGTTTTCACTGTAACAATTTGCAATTCAGTGTGACTCAGAAAAGTCCTTGAAGAAATGGGAAAAAAAGTGTTCCTCCTGAACCACAGGCATTTTCTGCATGGTACCTAGCACTGATCCCTATTCAAGGTGACTTGCTAGTCAGGCTACACAACCATAAAGGTGTCCACTTTGAAAAGACACCATAGTGGGATCTCTGTAAAGTTTGTACTAAGGAATTTTTAGCAGCTCAGTTCATTACACCTTTGACACTTAAATGTCTTAAGTAACAAACTAAGAAATCATAAGAGTTAATCTTTTATTTACTACAGTAGGTTGGAGGCAAGTGATGTGAAATGTACCATCTACCACCATAGACCTGTGGGAAGCATTTAAAGAGATTAAATATGCCATCTTCACAAAAAGGGCTTACCTGGCACCTACTTGGTACACAGTAATAATTATTCAATGCATGAAGGAATTGTTCCAGGCAATGCTGTTGTAGCCTCGGCACAGTGCAGCAGAGGCCTTAACAATGCTTTTTATTTCAAATTGCTTTGGATTGCTTCTTGGCCTTTTGGCAAATTGCTTTGGAACCCCCCTTTTTTTCTGAATTAAATTGGGGAGTGTCAGGTGCATGTCCGTAATGCTATTTAATGGTCGACTGAGTGATTCACGTTGCCTTTTGAGCCCATGAAGATGGATTTACAACAAGACTGCTTGGAATCCAATAACTATACTAATGGTGTTACTTACAGCCCAGTACATATACGTGGAATCTGAACGGGGGAAAGCAGAGTGAGTGTTTTTAAATGAGGCATCATGTCCTTCCTTTGCTGAAGCTAAGCTTGTTTCTTGACTTGTGACCCCTTATTGATGCTATGATTTGGCCGGGACGGATGGTGCCTGATCCTTCTTATACAGAAACAAAGTTTTGGATTAAATACCCAACTTGTTACACAGGCGAGTTTCCAAGAGAAAAAGTGCCACGGGGCATACAGTTATTCACTGCTGGGTGCTCCGTGGCAGGGCCAAGGAGTAATTTAAGAGCAAGAAGTGCGTGTTATGGAAAGCTGGCGACAGAACTGTCAAAGTCCTATTGCCCTTTTCTCCTAAACTGGTTCTTTAGGTCGAGCTCTTAAGCACCCACACCTACACCTGGCAAACTGGACACCTCAGTGGCCATAGGCACACAAAGGGCGCCCCTCTCCGCCTTTCAGTTCCGGCCTTTGTTCCGTCTGGCTTCCCTATTGGCTGGAGCCTCCGTGGCCACGCCTCCTCACCTGGAGCCCTCCAGTGACCCATGAGGGGCGGTGCTTTGTGACGCACGACGTGACGTTTTCCAGGGCTATAAAAAGCCCTACCGGTTGTGGGTCTCCTTCAGGAGCCGCCGGCAAGGGGTCAACGAGGGAGCTCTATAAATCGTAGCCGGAAAAAAGGTGGGGGCGCGCCTGGAGGGAAAGTCCAGCCTGCGCTCTGGATTAGTTAAGCCTTAGAGGCGTCTGCTGTGCTGCGATGGGAGAGGCTGCTCCAGCCTCAAGTGTGGGAGAGGCGGAGGTTCCCGGGTGGAGGCTGTGGGAGAAGCCGGCGGCACTCCTGTCCTGTGCGGTCTTAAGTGTCCCCCACCTTTCACTGTTCTCTCCCCTAAACGGAAACAGAAGAGCGAAACAGGCCCCCCCAGTGGGACCCCCGCCCCTGGGCCCTTTGGAGAGGGCGTGTCGTGTCCCAGTTCTGTCCCGTGTGGCTCCAAAGCTCCTGGGGCAAGGCGTTACCCGCGTTCATGGGGCCTTGGCGGCGCATGGCCTTGAGTCCTATTAGCTTTGGACGCAGGTCCTAGAAAGGAGACCTTTGCGGAGGGCTAAGTTGTCCCTCAGACCCCGGTAGCTGAATTTGGGGCCACCTTGTACCCGTTTGAGCCGTTACTCCCGGCGCCAGCCTGTTTCTCAGCTTGGTTGCGACAGCTCTTTGTAGGAGCCGCTTCCCGGATGAGGCCGGCTCTGCGTGGTAGAGGGACGAGAGCCACTGGAGGGCTGGGCAGCGCCCAGGGGTTAGGGACTTGGAACCCTCGCCGCCGTCGCCAGCACTAACTGCTAGTTGCCTGCTTAACGGGCGCTTTTAGCATTTATTACCGCTGCCTGCGTGTGGGCTTGTGAGCCTGCTACAGCAGCTCTGTTTTAAAAAGCTGATTTAATTCAGTAAAATTCCCGGTGAACCATACTGTCGTACAGTAGTACATTTTCACGAAAGAACACTACGCTTCGTTCTTAAAGGGTGTGCTCTGGCCTATACAGGTTCATTTCCTCCTGACCTCTGGGAAAAGTGTTTTTAAATACTCAACATTTTTTATGGCACATTAGTTGCTTTTTATTAGAAGTTGCGTCTTCCTGTAAGTGCTGTAACTAAATCCTGCCACTTTGTTACTCTACAGAAGGGTGTTAAGGCCGAGGCTCGTTAGGTCACACTATTCTCTCTTTACAAGGACCCGTGGGAGAAATTTCTCCTGGGTCTCAGTATCCAGAGCAGCATGATTCTTCCAGGCAACTAGGATTTTTCTGTTTTGTTTGTTTGTTTGTTTTTAACTTTAGGAAACCTGAGCTATTATCCGTTTCCTATCTAGCTATACCTTCCTGGATCCCGGGTCAAGTGAAGGACCTATGGTTTGCACTGAGGGACTCACCTCACCCTGTGCTTCATCTTTCACCTCATTTTCTCCTTACTCCTGAATGCAATTTTAAAATTTTCATTACGTATACTTGGAAGCCTTCCTAAATTTTGAGAATGAGGATACCCACAGTATGAGATCCACAGCCTCTGCACCTCAGAATTACAAGTTCGACTGTGTAAATACTCTTGGTACCACTTAAAAGATGGGCAGGAGAAAGGGGAGATGGGGAAGTTAGGGCACAGGGTAAGAAGGGGCGTAAGGCAAGAGGTGCATGTGGTTGTAGGTGGCATAGTACACCACGGATAACATCAAAATGAAAGCCAAAAATGCATAAAGATGAGTAATATGTCTGGAGAATCCTTAGAAAAATGAGGGGGAAGTTGCTTTCCTGTAGAACCACTGTTTTTTAACTCTGTACAGAAAAACTAGTGCTGATAGTTATGTAGAAACACACATGGGCTTAATATGTCTTCAAACATAGAGTATTCACTGAATGTTTTACAGAAGCATATTCCATTTGGGCTTTGTTGTTTAATTCTTTGTTTTTCATAACACCCTGGAAGTTTCTGGCAGGACCCTGCCAATGGATTGTTTTTACTAGTACTCTACGGTGTTATCTGTACCTACTAAGCAATTGGTAATGAGGTATTTTTCCCTACCATCAAGAATTAACCATTTTACTAAAATACCTGGAGATTAGAGTTAAAGTTAATTTTATTTTATTCTGAGACAGGCTATCACTATGTAACCCAGACTAGCCTTGAGCTGATTCTGTAGCCCAGGCTGGCTTTGAACTCATGGCAATCTTCCTGCTTCATCCTGAGGGCCGGGATTACAGGTGTGTGCCAGCACATCCTTCTAAAACTAATTTTAATGGAAGATAGATTTGTTCTTGGAAACTATAGTTAATGCGTAAGAAATATTTTAATAGAACATTAGTGTACTATATATAAGGTTTTGTTTTTCTTTGTTACAGTTGAGATTACAGACATCCTGCCAAAATGATTTCTTCAAAGTCCAGACTTGTCGTACCCTATGGCCTCAAGACTCTACTTGAGGGAGTTAGCAGAGCTATTCTCAGAACTAATCCATCAAACATCACCGAGTTTGCAGCAGTTTATTTTAAAGAACTTATAGTATTTAGAGAAGGTTTGTTATTGCTTGAGATTATATATTTATTGCTCTGAAAAGCACTTTAAGTTGAGAATTTTATGTATCTGGACTTAATTTCTGTGCTTATTTTTCAGGGAATACTTCTCTGGATATAAAAGATCTGGTTAAACAATTCCATCAGATTAAAGGTGAGTACTATCAGTCGTGACCATTTTAATAATGTTGGTTTTAAGTTACTGCAAAGGTGCTAACATATATTCAGGTTTAGGATTGACGCTAACAGGTGCTTTGCTTGAATAACCACAGTAATGATTCATGTATAAATCACACTAGTGCTTTGTTTTGATTAAATCAGTTTTTTTAAACTAGGGGGCTATCATTTAGGAAGATTGTAAACCTTTTTATTTTTTTAAAGGAACATTTTTTTTTAAAGGAACATTTTTGCAAACCATTTGGTACAATGAATGTACATAAATGCTTTGACCAGGGTTGCCCCAGACCCTTCCTGGTCTGCTCACCTGCGGGAAAGTGTGGTGAAATTTAAAAGAACATTTCACATCTTGAAAGACTTCACACTGTCTAGATACGCTTGATATTATAGCACGCGAAGTTACACTCAAATAATTTAAGGAAAGAGGCACTATGGTGACTACTATTATGTTAGATTATCTGGTGGTGAAACACAATGATGCTTGAATTGCTCGGTTCTGCCCTGCATTGTTCTATTACAATATCCTCTCATCTCAATCTTCCCCCTATTTTTAAATTAATCTATTTTCTCTCATTTTCTTAATTAAGGGAAAACTAAATTAAAGAATAACGGGACATATTTTAGTTGGTTGTCCTATTAACCTGACTTGAACCTCCAGTATTGCTCTCCCCATCTTGTTCTGTCTGATTATTATATATTCTATTTGTTTGATAGTATCAAGTTTGAGGGTATAGGCAATCACTTTGAAGGCAATAAGGTATACTATGAAGCCCAATATGGATTGACTATCATCCTTTTTTTTTTGAAGTCCTGTAAGGTCCTCAGTGTAGATTTTAATGGTTTTGTTCCATATTGTTTTGATCAATTCTATTATACCTGATGATATAGACAACTCAATTTGAAAATAGCAAGAGGCACAATGGTAACCACTTTTGATCACCTGCTATTCTATTTTTGCATCACGTGCTATGCCCACCCTTCTGTTCTAACTGACTCTGTTTTGCTTAGTCACATTTGTTTTTATTCTCTTCAAAAAAGTAATAAGAACCGTGAGAGTAATAAAATCCTAAAAGTCTAATTATTACTGTAAAAAAGAGAGGAAAGTAAGGTGGACTAAGGGATATAACCGCAGGTATGTTCGAGAGTGTAGGACAGAAAACCATATAACTGAGCTTTTGTTGGATCATTGAACGGAACTGTCTCCAATTCCACTGTATGAATGTTCACTTTATATGCTTTAATTTAGTGATATGGACAACTGTTTCTGGGAAGATAATGTGTAGCCTGTTAACTGGTGATTTCGTACTGTATATATTTTTTTCTAGAAATACTGTATTATTTGTACCCTTTTACTGCATTTTTTATGTCCTTTTTTTTCTTCTCTCTTTAAATAAAAAAAAAAAAAAAAAAAGAACATTTCACAGTATGAAAGCTCATAGTGAGACACAATACCTAGTAAAGTTTCACAGGTTAAGCATCCCTAATTTGAAAAGCTCTAAAGTGCTTTAAAATCCAAAATGGGAGCAGATACAATGTTTAGAAAGTTTTGGAATTTTGAGCATTACACATTTTTACATTTTTAGAGGCGGGGTACTCAGCCAATAAAAACTATACAAATATTCCCAAACTCCAAATCTTTGAAATTTGAGACATATTAGGTCCTAGGGGTTTCAGATAAGAGATACTCAACACTCTTCTTAGAAGGCTTTATTAACACACCCCCTCCCAACACACCGTGGTTCCCTTCAGTCAGTCTGGGGACCATATTAATTAGATATCCCTGACCATACTTTCTGTTCCAGGAGAGTCTCGGAATAGGTCAGCGTTTCATAGGAGAGTGGTAGTCTTCTGTGTATCTTGGACACTGTGACATAGTACACATATCTGCTTAGAAGAAAATGTATAAATCCCCATCTTATGTGACTAAGATGAAACCAAATTGAGTGAGGAGCAATGAAAATGTTGGAGGAGGGAGAGAGAGGAAAGGGTAGAACTTAATGAAAATTTGGAAAATCATTATAAGCAAAAGAGGATTTAATGGTCAAACTCTAAAGACAGGCATACATGTCTAAAAAAACAGAATGAAACTTTTCACAGAATTTTAGGAGGAGGTAAAATGGAGAATGATGATCAGTGTGGAACATAACTGAATAATTCTTACTATTTTGATTGACCAACATTTTAGAATACCATCACAGAGGATATAAAAGGACCTATGGGTTATCAGCCAACTTATTATCTATCACTTTTGTGACATTAATAAGTATATACTTATACTAGGTATAAGTTAGGGCTAAGAAGATGTAAGTCATGAGGGTTTGAATCTGCAGTGGAGGAATTGCCATATCAGAAAGCAAGATTAAGAACGGTGAAGGCCAGCATCCGAAGGAACAGAGAATAAAATGTCATGGTTCAGGAATTTTGTCTAGTCTGGCTGCTTCCTTGTGGGGGACCCTGGTGGCATTTTCAGCTTACTGTGGGCAACAGGCCTGGGGTTTGGTTTCTTACCATCAGCAGCAGTTAGGAGAAGTGCAAGAATATTAACTACCCTTCCCTGTGTGCCTGGTTTCCCAGGTTGTCGGGTTGTTATTTGTCTTCTGTGCCTGCCAGTAATGATGCTGGAAAGATGTTGACATAGTCAGTGAATCTGTACAACGGGAGATAACTAACAGGTAGCTTTTTGGTTAAATTTGTTTACTGAATTTATTCACCGTTCAGTTTAGCAGGTGGACTAAATAAATGGAGATTTTTGGTCCAGATAGGTCTAGGTTTGAATCCCAGGATTTAAAATTAAGAAAATTAGTCAAGGAGCCATACTTTTGATGGAAGAAAGGGACCAGAGACATTGCAGCTTAAAGATACCAAGGAGTGGACCTGCTATGCAGATCATCCTGAAAGCAGGCTCACTCAATGTGGCTGCAGAACCAGATTGTAGAAATGAACATTGCTTGTTCTCATTTACAAGGAAGATGGGAAGGTAACACAAAGGTAATGACCAGAAATAACAGAGTTCGATTTTTCTAGTACTAGTTTGGCTCACACATCTGTTTCTTGTCATCCCAAGTGTCTTAGTGGACAAACAGTACTCACTAATTTAAGTCCTACCGTAGAGACTGCATGAGTTCCCCTACATTCAGGAAGCGTTATTCAGGGCTCAAGGTGGACTGTCCAGGATATGCAGGCACCACAGGTTCCGACTTGCAGGCCTTGCCTTCCTAAAGGGTCATGCTGCTATCTTCTGACTAATGGTGTTCCTGTGGGAGTAACTGTGGCTGCACGGTGGTTCTGTTTTTCACAATAAGACAAGCATAACGTAGGTATAACGTTTATGTGTATCCTAGTTTTACATATGGATAATAGTACCTAGAATGCTCCCAGATTTTCAGTGACCTACAAAATGTGGAAACAAATCATTCTTTGAGGGTGGTCAGCTCACCCTTACTCTATTTTTTTATTTTTTACTTTTTGTTCTTTTTGAGACAGGGTCTCACGATGCAATTCAGGCTGACCTTGAGCTTACATTTTAGCCCAGGCTGTCTTGAACTCAGAATGATATGATCCTCCTTGCCTCAGCCTTCCAGGTGCTGGGATTACAGGCGTGCACCACCACGCCTGGCAGCTGACCCTTACTCTAGAATTTCAGTCTCTTCAGCATGAGATACAATGAGCCCAAAGATGGAACCAGCTATTAGAACTTGTGACAAGAGCTATTAGAACAGGCAAGAGCTAAACTCCCACTCCTGTCATGTTAGTGTCCCCGGTTCAAGATAGGTGCCTGAGTTCCATAAGAGCAGGCAGTGGGAATATTGTGTTCTCCAGAGTTCTTCCCAGTCTGCCTAGTTTGCTGCCTGGAAGCATACTGTGTGTTGCCTGCATGTGCATGGAGATAAGACCCTGCATGCATGTGATTTGTTTTGAATTGTACACTTTATTCTAAGATTTTTCCTAGAAAGCACCATTTTTGATAGCTCTCATAAGGGCAGCAGTGTTTGCCTATCTGCCCCATTGCTTCCAGATTTCATGCATAGTCAGGTGATGGAGGAGGAAGAACCAGGCACAGGAGCAGACTTATCACTTCTGTCATCTCCTCTTCCTCACATTTCTCAGAGCCTGGTGTCTTTAGCATGGTCCCTGGTGCCATGCAGGGGGTGTCACTGTGGCCTTTCACCAAGTATACCTATTGCCAAGGCTGTTCAGCTGAGCAACTTTCTTGGTCTTCCTCTTTCTCACCCCCTGCAGTTTAGCAGATCCTTATTACCATGTGAATCAGAGAAAGATCCTCATGTCTCAGTCCTCTCAGGATAGTTTTTTCATCCTAACCATTAAGTGTTGAGATTTAAAGCTCAGGTCATGTTTTAAAACAAAAGAATCATTCCCTTAAATTTCATCACTTAGTATATGCTAGGAAAAGAAGGAAAAATGGAATTAACACTTATTGAAAGAACTTTTATTCTAGGCACTTAGGTTTTGTTAACATATGAGGTCTAGGTGACATCATTGTAGTTTTACTCAGGAGGCATGAGAATAATTAAATAACTTCTAAGTTTCTAAATACTAAGAAACTGGAGTTGGAATCTGAACTTGGATCTCCCTAGTAGCGTGGCTTATGTTTTTCACATTATAAAGTAACATGCTAGGATCTCTCTGGAAAAGGCTTATTGAATTCAGGAAGTGATGTGAGGAATTTGGTTCCTTTCCTTCATCATCTGTATTTCACTTCTTTTTACCTTGACACCTTTTGTGACATAGCCAAAGGTATTAATTCTGATCTTTTCACTACTTGTGGCAACTCCTGTCTCATCACATAACCCTACCCCCCAAGCCAAATGTATCCAATTTCCAGTGTTGCCTTCAAGGGAGGGAGGACCAGATGTAGTCACCTCTTGTGAATAAGCGTGAAGGCCAAGCTCTGGGATTAGAGGCACAGCTCAGTGGTACATGGTGTGCTAACCCATGTGCAAGGCCCTGAGTTCAACC